GCATATTTGTAATATTAAAATAACCGCTTTTCACTAAATACATTTGTGTGTATACATGGTACATATACAAAAATAATATATTTTATCTGTCTGTCTGTTAGTTCTGGCTAATCTCTGAAACGGCTTGGCCGATTTTGAAGAGACTTTCACTAGAAGTTGACTTACGTAATGAGGATTAACTTAGACTTATGGCTCGATGCAATTCGACCGATATCAAATTTATCGGAGATCCGCATATGAAACAACTTTTTCTAAATTCAATATATTTTTAATCCCGGACGCAAAAACGACGCGGTGTTATAAGTTTGACATGTCTCTGTGTGTGTGTGTGTGGTGTGTTTGTGTCTTTTTGTGGCATCATAGTTCCCGAACGGATGAACCCATTTTGATTTTGTTTAAAAGGTGTATTAGTCGGGAGAGTTCTTCACTTTGATGAAAATCGATACAAGATGGCCGCCGCCACAAAATGTCGGATCACATATTTTATCACCATTCCATCAATATGGGTATCAAATAAGAGGGCTTGAGTAGTAGAATACTGAACACTATGACAAATTTCAAATCCAAGATGGCCGCCACCAAAAATGTTGGATTACCTACATATTTTTCATGACTCCCTCAATACGGACATTAAATAAAAGGGCTTGAGTAGTAGAATACTGTTTACTATGACAAAATTTTATATACAAGATGGCCGCCGCCACAAAATGTTGGATTATCTATTAATTTATTTATTTTGTACACACATACAATTTCATATGAACAAATGTAACAGACATTAGTACAAGGGCACTGCTTATTTCAAATTGAAATTTCTACCAGCAGGCCCAAAACAGGAAAAAGAAATACAATAAGGTAGTCAGTGTGTACCTCCTAAATAAATTAATATGGAATAAAAAAAACAAATTCAAATACCGGGAAAGAGAGAAAATAAAAATACATAACGGTTCAAACATTATATAAATAATAATATATATATCTATAATATATAAAGATTAATAATACCTACACTATCCAATATCAACAACAGGAAAGATAATGATCCTTTACTCTTTTTTTGAACACAGAAATAGTGCGACTGTCACGTATATCGGCAGGCAAAGAGTTCCAGAGTCTAGCAGCATAAACAGTGAAGGAATATGAAGTAAAATCCGTTTTGTGTGAAGGAGTTTGAAGACTTAAGGTGGGATCTGCAAAGAGCATCAGGAGAACGGAGAAAGGAGAAACGCTCACGCAGATAGGAAGGATAGACGGGATTATACAGGATGTTGAACAGAAGACAGACAATCCTGACATATCTACGCTGACGAATGGGAAGCCACATGAGCTGCTTACGTAAATGTGACACATGATCATACTTACGAAGACCATAAATAAATCTAATCGCTAGATTTTGAAGTCGTTCAAGTTTGTTTAATAACTCCTCCGTGGCATCCAAGTAACATGCATCTGCATAGTCAAGAAGAGGTATAATTAAGGATTGTGCTAGTAACACTTTAGTTTTAAAAGGTAAAAAGTTTTGAAGGCATTTAAGTGTGTGAAATGAGAAGAAGGTCCTACGACTAACCTCAGATACATGGGCAGTCCATGATAGATTTGAATCCATTGTAATTCCAAGATTTTTTACAGTGTCTGTTAACTCGATCTGAGTCCCATCCAAAAGCAGGGGTGGTAAAGATAATGCAGAAATAGAATTTATATTAAACCTGCTACCTATCACAATGGCCTGAGATTTACTCGGGTTAAGCATGAGGCCAAACGATTTTGCCCAAGTACTAATGCGATCCAAATCGTTATTAATAGCTACCAGTGCCGAGTTACAGTCTTCTATTTTAAAGTGTCGATAAAGCTGCAAGTCGTCTGCATAGAGTTGGAAGATATAACTTTAGTAACCGAGTTAATGAAAATTGAAAATAAGAGAGGTGAGAGAACAGCACCCTGAGGAACACCCGCACCGAGGTCGCACCAATCAGAAGATTTATTACCAAGACGCACACGTTGCGTGCGTCCCCGAAGGTAGGAATCAAACCATGAGAGAACAGAAGGAGAGATATTGCAAGAACGAAGAATAGCGAGAAGAATGTCAAAATCGACAGAATTAAAAGCACTGCTGAAGTCTAGAAGAATTAGAACTGTAAGAGCTTTATTCTCCATAGCCCAACGTATATCATCAGTAATGTTTATTAAAGCTGTTACAGTACTGTGACCAGGGCGGAAACCAGATTGGTACCTATTCAAAAGGGAATAAGAAAAAAGAAAAGTTGATAATTGCTTATGAACAATATGCTCAAGAAGTTTAGAGAGAAGGGGAAGAATAGAAATAGGACGAAAATGAGATGGGACTGAAGGATTAGATACTTTAGGCAGTGGAATAATGTGCGCCATCTTCCAAATTTTGGGAAAAGAACCGGATTCAAGTGAGAAGTTAAGTATGTGAACAAGTATAGGAAGGAGAAAAGATAAAATAGGGGTAAACATTCTTACGCTTAGGTTGTCCTCGCCAGCAGCCTCGGAAGAAATGGCTTGAATGGTATTTTTAATGTCAGTTTCGGATATTTTTGAAAAGACAAAAGATGTGCAGTCTGGCCTCGGAACTAGTGAAAGTTCTGCGAGCGTAGAATCCTTTATGTCACCATCGATAGTAGAAGGAGGAAGGGAGAAGTGTCTGTTAAGGACGCTTAAATCTACATTGGTAGACACAGTAGCAGTAGATTTCCCCACTCCTACAGAGCGCAAAAACCGCCAGGCATCAGTAGGATTGCGATCAGTAAGAGAGCTATGGAAGAAGCGTCGCTTAGCATCCCTACACATACGACTGCAGCAATTTCGAAGAACCTTAAAACGAATAAGATTGCGGTTAGTTGGACGTTTCTTATATGCTCTTTTTGCCTTATCTCTTTTTTAACCACCAAAAAAATTGACCACCCATCCAATTGCCGGCCTTTGCAATCGTCGCTTAACCTCCTCAATCGCAGATCAAACGAGCTATCCGGCACCATCGAGCTTTTCATTTGTTTATATACGGATATTGCCGTAGTTTTTTGTAAAATTCAATATATTTTGATGATATGGTAAGTATGAGCAAATGAATCGTTCCTCGATATTATTGAACAGAAAATCAAAAGCAGATCGAGCGTTCTACCACCTTCATACATTTGAAGTGATACCGCAGACCATGAGATTTGTGACCGATATTGACAGATAGTACAATCTCATGAGCAAACACTTGAGTTTTTTCATACATTTTATAAGTGCATGCGATTCGTGTGATATCGTTCATTCATATCGAATAACATCGCATCTAGCCATGAGAAAAGAAACAATTCTAATTAATATAATTCTAATTTACTACTTTTCCAAACAGGAAACAGTCCATGTTTCCTATGGATGACGAAAATATTTCGAAATCGTCGACGAAAAATATGGCACGAATATTTTTTAATTAATATTTATAATTTTATTGATATATTGTCATCGCTATTTATATTTATAGCCTATGATTCGGCTAATCTTGTTTCTTTTAATTTTTGTCCGATCTTAGCAGTCGTGTTTTTAATTTTTAAATAATTTTTATATTTTATTCATTTTAGTGAGCAGTTAATTTTGTATACAGATTATATATTTTTAATGGACCTTTAATTTGATACCCATAAAGTTATGATTATAAAAAAACATACTTTTTTAAATGGCGTCACACGTCCCCATACCTATTTAATATTAATAATTAAGCTAGTTTCACTGATACTCTATGTATTTTGTGGTAACTTGGGATGATGTTTCTAATGATACCCTGTACATTCATATCCGTTATATCTTTCAAAAGTTATGGTGCAATAAAAATACTCACATACATACATTAATTCTAAAAACAATAGACTCCTTTTCGAGAGCAGTCGTTTAAAATATTCGGGAATCGATAATGAATCTCACCATAGAAATACTAAAATAAATACAAAAATTGGGAAAAGTATCAAAATAGCTTGAACGTGGTTTCAACACAGTATTGTGGACTCGTGACCTTGAACAAGTTCTCGAGAACTCAAATCACAGAGTGAAAATTTGTTCACAGTTTTGTAGAAAATGGACCAAAGCGTGACGTCATGTGACATTTTAACTCAATGTATCGCTGTAATTTAATGATTACGAAAAAATATATTAAAGGTATATTTAATATTTTTCAAAAATCTACCTGACGTCAGACAAAAATTAGTCGTCATCCCTATTTTATTTGGAAATAGCTCAGACCAAATAAAAAGTTTGGTCTGAGGGAAATAGCATTTATTCGACGATCTTTGCTTCAATGTAATTAATCACATTTTTTCATTGCGGCCTTCTTGATGCGCTATGTAACAATTGTATAGTAGGTATGGGTATACGATTCGTCATGTCTTTCAAAGCAACATCTAGAGGTTCAAAAGCTTTTGCGTGAGATATATGACACATATATGCAAAAAGGTATACCTAGGTATAATAAACGATATACCTACGGTCGGTCGCACAAACATCCATTAAGGTTAAATAATGTCTTCGACATCGCCCTATTGTATGTCGAATTTGAATTGGTAATGTCATTAATTGACAATTTTAATGGACGTTTGTGCAACTATTGAATATACACTATCGCAACTAAATGACTGTGGGAGTACATGTAAAATTAAACGATACAAACATTATGTCGCAACTAAACGAGAGCGGGATTACATGAACGGACCGGAGGATCACAAAAACTGTCGGCAACGGGAAAAAAAAAGTTTACAGTTGAGACGAATGAGTCCGTATACCAAATCGGGATTCTACTGTATTATTATTGTTATTGACGTCATCATGATAATGTCAATAAAAACGAATTGTTAATTTCGCATCCTCCATCGAAGCCCGGATAGCTCAGTCGGTAGAGCATTGGACTTTTAATCCAAGGGTCCAGGGTTCAAGTCCCTGTTCGGGCGGCTTTCTTTTTAAGTTTTATTTTTACTATTTTATATTTTTTCTCTTGTTTTCAGGAGTTTTGCATATTATTCACTTGTAGAAAGATTACCAATAATATTAACTAAAGTCATAGACTATTGTTCGAGAGAATCGGGCTCAATTAGATCATCTTGTGGTGCAGTAAGTTTTTTCCATTTATAATTTTATTAATTTTCATTTTGATTTTATATTTATATTTTATTACGATAGTTTTGCGTATAATACCGTTTTTTTTATAAATATTCTAACCTTTTCCTGACAATATGGAATACATAAAAAAAGAATCGTTCAATTTGGTGCAGTAAGTTATATATTATTATATATTATTTTCCCAATATTTTTTTTTATTATATTTATGAAAGCACAATAATTAAATAAAATTTAGGAAGTTGCCTGTGTTCATCACTAGATAGCACTTTTTATATTTTGCTTTATGTTACAGTCGGACGGAGACTTGCGTAGTTTCATCAACTACGTCAGCAAATTAAAAAATGACTTGATCACAAATAAAAAGTATGAATTACTCCAAGTAGATACACCTGAAGCTAAGAAATGGAACGAATGGATAGAAGGGTCGCCCAATCAATATTATTTTACGAATATATGGGTATTCACTGAATGTTACGTTTATAGAAGGCTAAGAGAAGGATGTGAACTATAGTGAGTCAAATGTTTCTTATAGAGGTCAAATTTTGCTAACAGCTCCATCTCTTGACAAAAGCATGAACTTTCTGAGACGCTTGTAAAATGACAGAGTGTCACGGATCAAATGTTATTTAATTGCCTGTCAGTATCATCTTGAGGTTTGTTACGCTAGATGTCACCTATCGGAAGTATTCACGAAAATCAATTTATAATTTAGGATAGCTACATACTTAATTTGGTCTCTTTTCAATAAAAGAGTAAAAAAGTAAGTCATCAAGTAAGTAAGTAATCAAAGATCACTCTCTGTCTCTGTGGACTTTTTTAAAAAGGCGTCAATTTATTGGTTTTCGATATATATTATATGTTGTTCTCGAAAATGCCCTTGACTCTTATGTATCGACCATTATACGCTATGGATATATTAACGAAGCCCATTTGATTCCGTTTGTTGGTCGTTCGTTAGTCCACTTTGTATATACGTCACATAGATTTATATATCTATGGTATGCATAATTAACTGTGTCCAAATGTGTGGCGGACCACTGATAAGGAAATAACCATAATTGACCCCCCCCCCCCTCCTTTTACAGGCTGTACTTATTTGTCTATAGGGCTTCCAACCCGAGTTTATAATGTGATCACGAGACTTTGCAGCCATTTGGAGGCCCCTCAGAACCGGAAGCCAGGGAACTAAATTTAAAGTTCAAAATTGGTCGTTTTGCTGTGCTACAGTATTATTTATTTCATAACTTCGTTTTTTAGTAAAACCTTAGCAACCTTCGACCCATTTCAAGAACAGAAATCGGAGGCGTTTAATAGTACACTAGAGCCAATGTGTGTGGTGGCCGATAAACTTATGACGATGCTGCCTGAAAGTGACAAAGACAAAAGGAAAGCCGACTTCGTCACTCTCATGAAGGTTAGTTTGGTGTATTTTGGATTATATAATGTTACACTCAAAGATCGAAATCGAGTGAAAAAATAGTTCACAACGCGTTGTGGCATTCGCAGAGTAACTACATAGCGAAATCCGTGTCGTGACTGACATGCTATTCGACCTCAACGCGTTGTGGCCTAGGGCGCTCATATTTGGTCGTTATATGTTTAGCTCTAATTAATTTGAACCCATGCCATACTTAAAAAAATGCCTTTTTTCTTCTTTAGTCATGAATCCATGTCATCGGTATTCAAAAGTACAAACTTTAAAGATAACAGTTCTTTTGTCTTTGGCAAAAGTACAGTCTTTAATCATTGTACCTTACATTTTATTTTGTTGTGATTTTTTATGAGCATCGTTCCAGCGTTTTGTCTATGGCGCCAAGTTTAATTTAGCTGTCGCTAAAATCGCCTATCAAAAAACCTGCGCACTAGTATACTTATATAAAGTGTAATGTTATTAAGTGCCAGGACTTTGTGAGGTGAATTAATTAAATATTCTGAACAACTTTTACTACGGGAGCAAAGCTTTATTCCCGAAAAAAAGAATCAGCTGCTTCATACTGTTGGCGATTGTAGATATTTTGTATGAAACAGCTGATTTTTTGTCTCGCATAGTAAAATTTTACTCACACCACGAGGCCCTAGCATATAATAATATTACACCTTATATACTGGAATTCCAGTGTCATTTACAGTTGTATAAACATCCATTAAGGCTTAATGAAGATTTTAAGCTCTAATGAATATTCTTAAATTGAAAATTTGCATGGGTAATGTGGCATTAAACCATCATTAAACTAATAGAACTGGCAGTAAGTTGATTATGGTTACATGGTTTACAGATTTGTCTATGGGCTAACAAATGCGACTTGTCGCTGTCGGTAGGCGATCAGGTGAAATTGCAAGATAACGAACACACCACCGGCATTATGGATCCGTTTCAGATGATCACAGATCTGAAAGATAAGGTATGCTCTATAAAAATATAACTTGAAAAAAATTAAGCGACTTCAAAAAGGTCATACTAAAGAGGAACGGTTGAAAAGAGAAAAATATTCCACAAATTTTGATTTTCAGTAAAATCGAAACACAATAAGTGGTCTATGATGGTCTGTATGGGCTTCTAAACACGTGTGCAAAATTTTATATAAAAATGTTTGTCCACGGATACCTCGCAAACTAGACGTCGGATTAAGAAAAAGTTGATTGTCATGTTCAGTGTTTTTTAATAAGTAGTTTTATGCGTTTAAAAACACTGATAATTCAAAATTACTATAAAAAAAGTAAAAAGCCAACATCACGCGGTGTTCCCAGGCGGTCACCCATCCAAGTACTGACCGCGCCCGATGTTGCTTAACTTCGGTGATCGGACGAGAACCGGTGTATTCAACATGGTATGGACGTTGGCAGACGACGAATTGAATTTTTCGATCTGTATCAAAGTTTCAAACGAATTAAACAATATGTTAGAGTACTGAAATAGATCTGATAATTCATATTTTTATTTGCCAACGTCCATACCACGTTGAACACACCGGTTCTCGTCCGATCACCGAAGTTAAGCAACGTCGGGCGCGGTCAGTACTTGGATGGGTGACCGCCTGGGAACACCGCGTGATGTTGGCTTTTTTGTTTTATTTTTAAATCATAATTTTCTTATAATTAAATAGGGCTATAGAAAACTTATTCATATTTTTATTTTGCAGATATACAGGAAATATATATAAAAAAAAAACAATCATAATAAATAAGTTACAATTATTAAAATAAATTTAATTTTCAAAATTTCCCGCGAAAACGCGACAACGAGCGTAAAATTTAATTATTCATTATTATATTAGTTTAAGCAATATTATAAAAATAATAAGCATAAAAGTGTGATTATCGGAAATAGTATATTAAACACTACCAGAAAATATATATATATATATTTATTTTCGTTTGCTGTCTTCACCCGTGTTTCTTTTCTTTCAGCTACTTGTCGATGACACAGGCAAAGCTGCTGACCAAATTATAACCAAGGCTGAAAATATGGCAAAGACAATCGAAGGGGTATGAAATATATGTAGTAGTTTTGAATTGTAATTATGAATTATAATTTTTTTTTCCCGCTGAATATTCTTAAAATGTACCTTTTTCACCGAAATCTCGAACGAATACTTCTTATACATTATTACTGAATACATTTTATAATTTATTGCAAAGTTACCACGAGGAGATTGGTACCAATCAGGCATTATAATTTATTAAAAAAAAGAACATAATATTACAGAATACGACATTCAAATACCAATGCAGTTGTCACAGACTGGCAACACTGGCTGGTGTCCCACATTGTAAAGAGGTTTGGTTTTATAAAGAGTTAAAAAGGAGTAGATAAATTTAAATGTAGAATATTCTACTTTTTAATTCCATTTTCATTTAAGCATAGGATTTGTATGTATTTATGTAGAGAATTCACATTGAAATTAGTATTGTTAAATGTAAATTGTACATTTTTAAATCTGAGTCACTCATTAAGTAAATATTAATTTGAAATGATAGCATTGTTTGCTCAAGTAATAAAACAGATAATTTAGATTACTATATTTAGTTACAAATTGTCAATTAAATCGATGACTTAAAGAGTGTACTGTACAATTGCTTTCTTAAAAATAAGGATTGTCTCTCTATGCCCTATTTTACCCTCAATTATTTTCTTTTTATTAAATAAGATTTGGGCAGAATTTTTTTTTTTTATTCCGAGATATAATTTAGAGAAACAATTTTGCTATACCTCGGGAACATTCAATAGAATTAAAACATTTCATTTAATACATGGTTTACATCGAATCTTACGTAAACTCGTGATTTTTTTTTATGTGACTATGTTATTATTATATTAAGGCTTCAGTGACTGCTGTAACACCAGTGGCATCAAAAGCGGCAACAGCTGAGGGTGGTGAAGAGCCAGAACCGCCAAAGATACCTTGCCCGGCTAAAATGACAATACCACAGGCGGTTATGTTCGGTAAGATATTTTCGGCAAGCCTTCATTGTCAATAATCTAATAGAAAAACTTTTATATCAGTTTAAAAAAATATAAAAAACTGACGTATAACCACAATTAACTAATTGATCGATCATAATGCAACATTGCATGCTAGTTCACTTTATTTTCTCGATTGAGGAAGCATTTTTTTCATTATGTTTTGATGACCTATTTATAGACCATACAGTTGTAATAATTAGTAGTAAGTTCCAGGAGTTTCTAAAAGATGGCGCTTACCTAAGCTTTGGTAAATCGATTAATTATTAAAAATGGCTATTGTAACTAAGAACACCGCAACGCGTGTCCGCGTGCTATTTACTACATTAAATTTAAAAACGGTGGTTTATTTTTGTTTTTATCTGTTTATAACGAACTAGCTTTCCGCCAGCGGCTTCGCCCGCGTGGTACCTAGGGAACTGTTTATTTCAATATCAATTCATATTAAAATACGAATATAATTACAAATTGAATAGTAAACAATGGGGTCAATGGCGACGTTTTAATTCCCTATACAAACTCACTCTCATTTACATCCCTTTATTGCTGTTTTTCGGGATAAAATATATACAGCGTATATTCACCGCATGTGATGTAGCTTCCCATAATTTTTAAAACCGGTCCCGTAATATTATATTGTACCTATTTATTCCGGATATTAGTTACTATTTGAATTAAAACCAGTTGTAAGTTTCTTATCTAAGTCATATGTAACACAATAAATAAATAAAGATAAATAAATGAATATGTAGATAAATTAAAGATATTGGTTTATTGACATAAACAAAATGGAACTTCAAGCTGGATCGAACCCGTAACTTTGAATTGATAATCATTATATATAGGCAAAATGGTCCTTCGAGCCGGATCGAACCAGTGAGTTTGAATTTATAATCATTTTATATAGCAAAATGGTCCTTCGAGCCGGATCGAACCAGTGAGTTTGAATTTATAATCATTTTATATAGCAAAATGGTCCTTCGAACCGGATCCATCCAGTGACTTTGAATTTATAATCATTTTATATAGGCAAAATGGTCCTTCGAATCGGATCGATCCAGTGACTTTGAATTTATGATCATTTTATATAGATACACATAAACTATGATATAGGTTATTAAATATATTCCTTTTATTTTCCATATGTTGTTTTACAACTTTAATAAATGCCTTTTGTAGCCTGAAAATTTTCTTTTTAGATATCGTCTGTGATAACGCCGGGTATGAGCTATTCGCTGACTTGTGCTTAGCACACTTCCTTGTATCACAGAAAATCGTTCAAAAGGTATATATAAGATTTCTTGTCAACTTTATTTTCTTCATCAACATCATGCTTTTAAATTCTAAATTAAATGGAGTCAAAACAGGTTCTTACTTTCTTCTTATCTTCAACATGTTCTATAATTTTATAAACATAATAGAAATTCTAATGTCATTTGAAAATTGTTTTATTACTTTGGAAACATTTGGAGCAACAATTACTGACAGCAATACAGTCTAAAATAATTATGATGGTGAGCATACACTAAAAAGAAAAAAAAATCTTTGTAATATAATTGTGAAAACATCAATGTATATAAGATTGCTTTGATTATTAGATAAATAAAAAAGTTACAACTTTTTAACATTAAAAGTAACAACTTTTTAACAATCAAGCAGGCTATTATTATATATACAAACGATATTAACCCTTGATGATTAAAAAATTAAGTTCAATATTACGTTGCTGAAATTTGCATCTTGTACACTTGTAGTAAAGACAAGACAATTTGTAGTAAAACTATGTAGTGTTGTGTAGACATTGATGTCTATAAAAGTTATTTATTTTTTTCTTTACATCTTTTTTTTTAGGTCAGATTTCACGTTAAGAAGATCCCTTGGTTCGTGTCTGACGTAACTCCTAAAGATTTCCAGTGAGTTTGACAAAAATATGTTTTTCTTATATTATTGTAATTTTTCAGCATTGTGAACATTTGTTTAATGAATATTATTTTTATAAATTTAGTATATAATGCCTCATTCATTGAAAGCATACCCATCTCACTTACAATTATAAATGTAATTGCATGCATTTAACAATTTTTCGTCATGCATTTCAGATACGTAATCGACCAATGCAGATCAGCCAGATACGATAAAAAAGTGCCTCAAGCGCCCAAACCAGGTTGTTATTTTCATTTGATTTCATCTTTTTAATTTACACAATTCCTCCATAATCATGTTGGTGGCCTTCACACTTCAAAAGACGATTTTAAAAATATAATTCTGGAATATAGTCTAGGCTGTACGCAAGTCTATCCAATTGCATTTGGGTAAAAATGATAGAAAACATTTAACGTTATAAATATCTTTCATACTTTTAAGAAGAAAAAATTATATATAATTTTTATAATTTTAAGATTACCAATCACTAGAAATTTTGATAAAATTTTGAATTGACTGGGTTTCTCCATTCATTAAACCTGTTTTTATTACAATGAAAACAGGAGCTGTCACTAGATAGCGCATCTGACGCTTGAAGTCAGTTTCTATGGGTTGGTAATTCTCCTACCACAACATAGATGGCCATACGTAAAATTAGTTTGGAAACCAAAGCTGTCACTAGATAGTGTACTATTGAACGTACCTTGGGCAGTTGGTAGTACCATTACAACATAATATTTAAATATAGATGCGTACAAAACAAACTTAAAAGCTGAAAAGTACAATAGAATTAAACTACTTGAAGCGTGCTTTCTAGGACTAAATAATGCACCTTTATTAACATAGATGGCGATGCGTATAACTAAATAAAATTAGTCGAACGAAGTTGTCACTAGCATACTACACACCGGCTAACAGTACCATCATAATATACTCCTAGATGGCGACACATACGTATTTAGGTTGTTCTCTACATGGCGGTGTTAAGTTCTTGTCCCGTTTAATGACGTCCGGGCTCATTAGCTGTGAAATCATACTTACCTGGCGTAGGGGATACCGTGATCAGGAAGGCGGTTCCCCCAGGGCGAGGCTCCTCCATTGCACTGCGGTGGGGTTGACCCCTGCGATTATCCCTAATGTGGATAACTCGGACGCGTAATTTTTGGTAGTGGGAGACTGCGTACGCGCTGTCCCCCCCCTAAAAAGAAAAAGCTAAAAATATTACTAGTCTTTAATGTCTTTCTTTAGTATTTAAAATAGTAGGTCTCTTCTATTTTTAATTCAAATTATTTGATTCATTTTTATTTTTCTTGTGTATTTCATAAAAAGTAGTTTACTATTGCTAATTTAAATACAAACACAAAACATACATACAATCAATAAAAAAAAGGTTTATTTTTAATATATTAATAATTCAGTTGTCGTTGCTATTTATTGCACTTTAGGATGATTAAAAATTACATTAGAAGTTGTTGAAATCAAATCAGTATCTGATTTTATATAAACTACTCTCAGGCAGGATATGCGTTCATTATGTTACACTTGTATATATTTATGTATGTTTAAATAAAAAATATGTAAGTATGTAAACAATGTTGGTCTTAGATCAATTGAAAGTGTCATTCATATATGTCTCTTCAATAGCATTATTATTATTATTATAGCTGTATGTTGACATTAGCTATCTGGAAATAAGAAAAACGCAGCGTAAATTACATAGTGGCATGAGAAAGGTTCTGTGGGTAAAAACATACAATGAGTGGGGACAGGACATGCTTAAAATGAGTATAACAAGAAATTATATTGATTGGTTAGGTTGTCTTAATCTTCCATACAACAGAAAATTATGTGTAGTAATCTTTTAAATTATTTACTTATACCGATTCTATTATATCACTCTCTAAATTACAATTAATAAAAAAAAAACTTTTTTTTATATAAGATCGCTTTAGCAATATTCCGTAGTCACATAGGATATTCAAAGTAATATAATTTTACTCCGCTATATTACCATAAAGAGGTTTACTTCTGTAGTATTAGTCATTTTCACTATGTAGAATTGCTATCGCTATTGTTATTATCTCGTAATATCGTTGCTATGTAGTCTTTCTTTAGCTTCTGCTTTATCACTCAACATTTAAAATAAACTTACAAAATATGAACCTACATTTAATTATAAACTCTACATAGGTATGTACTCTACAATTCTAGGTAAATTCTATAAATAACTATTTCTATGGAACCAGACATATTATAGATATTAAAAAAGCAAGGTTAGAGTTACACTAACTACACCACTCGCCTCGCCATTGCCATAGATGGCGTCACTTCCACGCGCAGTAGACGTTCGACTGGTTTCAATACTCCTTGCAGCAGTCTTTCGCCCGCGTTTACTTCCATAGTAAGCCAACAGATGTCGACTGTGCTGTTAAACGTAATTTCGTGTGAATTGCGGTGTTAAGATTTATTCTCGAAGAATGACTTCTCTGCGGTTGTTAGCTGTGGGCAAGACCTTACTTCATAGGATCATTTCTATAGTAAGCTCTTCGCTAGACCTTCACAACATGTGAGGCCCTAACAACCGCGATGAGGAGACGTGGCGCGGTGCCCTGAGCGTGAGGGAGGCAGTGACAGTTTGTCACTAGCCATCGATGATCGTTCGCCCTTTTCTCCGGAAAAGGGAGTGGGGTATTGTCGCTGTCTGAGTGGTTGCTTTTTGATCTATTTTAAACTAAAAATACGCAGTGGAGCCTCACAAAGAAAAACTATTTCCCTATACAAGTGCACGCTCACGCTTAAATAAAAAAAAGTTGTTTGGAGTGCTAGTTTTATCTGGCTTAAATTGATGACTTTATTCGTGATATATATATGAAAAGTCGGTAACCATTATGTATTAAATGCAAATCAATTAAAAGTAACATATTATCAGTTAGATATTTTTATTTAATCTAAATTGCGGTTTTGAATTCTGTAAATTACTAAATGTAAAATAACTGAAGAAAACTATTAGTTTATTCATTTAAATTAGTTGCATTTATAATTAAAGTCGACAGATGACTATGAAATGTATGTACTACAGGTTAATATGCCTGGATAATAATTCTAAAATAATAATGTACACCACATGATTTATTAACTTGTTATAGAATACATAAATCTAGTATTCTATAACAATGACGTTTGTGCAACTGGCTGTCAGTCTTATATAAAACGATGACTAATTTTAGTACTACGTTTAAGTTTAAACCATTATCTAACCAAAGTGAATAAACTTCACGCTTTCTGTTATTCTTTTCTTTTATTGACTTCTAAATAACGTTATAACAAAGCCAAATTAAAATTAGATTTCTTTAGTTTAATTTAGCTCTCTTAATTAAACTAAAGAAATCTAATTATTATATTTGATTCTCAGAATGCTATACTAGAAAATTCTAATTTTAATTTGGATTTTGGAATTGGAAATTGGTAGAATTACTACTTTTATTATCTCTATTAATGTAATTTTTGTCCAGTAGAAATTGCTTTCATCATCATTTCCTAATTTAGTTTTAGTTAACCATCATATATCAGAATTCCGCAATAGATTTTGACTTCTACCCAGGGTTCGCAATTCTCAAGTTTTCTTTTTTTTTATAATTATCCGATGAATATCCGACAATTATCCACAGTTACAAGTACCAATGTTTTAAATATAGAAAGGCATTCATAATTTAACAAACTTTTATTTGTCGTTTTAAATCATAAAAATTATACAAACAAAATAATCAATAAAATTTACTGTGAAATCACATTAAACAAAAAGTGTAATGAAATATAAATAAAATATTTTTTAATAAAAAGGGGCCTTAATATATATATATTCTAGACAATTTCTGATTTGTTTCGTTTAAAGATTTAATATCCTAAATCCTAAAGTACAAAAACAGTTTGTCTAGTGTCTTATTACATCGATGTATTTTTGTTCAAAATCGTGAGGAGTTTGACAGTTTTGTATAACTTGTTGCTCTGTTGACTGATATGATAACCTTCGTGTTCATAGATGCGGCCGAGGGCGAAGCCCCACCAGAGCCTTTAGTGGTGAGCGCTGATAATCTGCATCGCCTCGGAGACCAGTGGACGCAGTATGTTGCTGATGGCATCTTCATTGTCATGGTATATAAAAAAATTGTTTACTTGATCTACGATTATTTCAAACGGGGCAAAACCTTCCAAGAACCCCCCCCCCCCCCCCCAAATATATGATACTTTAAAACACATTTTTGTGAAACTCGTTCTTTTTTGCCCGTATTATATTATGATGATTTTTTAAATTAAAGTAGAAGGACGCGGGGGATACGTTCCTTAAAAATAACGCGAATACGGGATGGCATTTAGTATAGAATAATGGGGGATACGTCCAAAAGTTCCTAAATAAAAGCAATATGTATGTCAAAATAAATACAAAATAAATAAAAAGTACCAATTATAATCAATCTTTATTTTCAGCTTTAAATAAGGGTTTAAAAAAAAAACATTAATTTCCTTTTTTACAGTTTTTAAAGATCTTTAATTTCAGATTCATAACTAAGTAACTGTGGCGTTCATAATGTAGCTTTTTTTAAGTATTTTATGAATGCTACAATGAAGCAAATATTGTAAGGCGTTGTAAAAGCCACCCTGACATATGCCCGAAATATTTTAAAGATGGCGATGCGTTAATAAACGAAACTGAATTCTTTTATGTTGCCGATTGCGCAGATTTTAGCCGCTAGTATAGAAATATCGGTAATAAATTTTTTCAGCCGTGAGCAGCTTCTACTGTATATCTTTATTTCTTACAGAGTGACGATTTCTGGACTTCTCCGCACGTGTACAAGGACATGAAGAAGTACGACTACAATTTGTACAGGAAGCTGCAGTACGCTGTAGCTATCATGTTCAAGGGTGATCTGAACTATAGGAAACTGCTCGGCGAAAGAAATTGCAGCTCGGTGTTGGGATTCGAAGCTGCACTACAAGGTGAGTGAGCTCTGTAATAATCCAGACCCGAATTAGAATTAATTAATGTGTCTGAATTCACATCGTTTAGTGAAGAAATTCTATTGATTCCATTCTTTGTATAAAAATACAAAACACAATTGAATATAGGTGTCTCAGATGTTTTATTCCTATGTCGTTTCGAAACTCACTTAATTTATGCCGCGAAAGGTTATTACCTATTCAAGGTTGAGCGGATGCCGCTCTTTGAAGTGAATCGGACTCCTTTAACAGAATCGCAGGGCTGGAGGCAAGAGTGAATAGGTTCCCTTTGAGCAAGCTTGTCTCATCGTAGACAGGCCCCGGGCTTAGGTGACTGGCGCCCTGGGCAAATGGTCTACTGGCGCCCCCTTTGTTCATCATCATCATCATAAGCCCTTTTACGTCCCCACTGCAGGGGCTCAGGCCTTCCTTATGGATGGTTAATGAGGATGGGTCATGGCCCTCCACGCTGGCCCAATGCGGATTGGAGGGTATTAACGACTGCAAATGCAGCCGGGACTAATGGCTTAACGTGCCTTCCGAAGCACGGAGTAGCTCGAGATAATATTTTTTTTGGTCACCCATCCCGTGACCGACCCTTGCGAAAGTTGGTTACGCCACCAACCTACACCCCCTTTATTACTATAATGTAAAAGCAAATAATCTATGTTACTTATATTTTATGAAGGAAATAACAAGAAAACACGTCTTTCATACACAAAACTGTAGACATTTATTTCTACATAATTCACACTTCCAGCAAAGATTACAACTTAAAATTATATTTTTAAGGCAATTTGTTTCTCTTATTTATTTTTATTATCTCTTTTATTTTGCGCCCCCAAAAATTTGGCGCCCAGTCTGCCCATTTATAGCCCGGGGCTTGATCGTAATTCTCATTTATGTCCTTGGGCAAGATTGAGGTCTAGAAGCCCGTTGTAAATTAAAAAAAATAAGTTCTTTACGGTTTACTTGGAGTAACTTTGTAAGTCAAGTAGTAACTTAAAATTGACACCCTGGTGAGCGCTAGATCAGAAATTTTGCACACCTACGTTTATAACATAATAGCTGACCCGACGACCTTCATAACACCATATTATATTTCTCCAGACAGGATTTTTTTTATATAAATAGATTGAGGTCAGGAAGCCCATTATAAATTAAGGAAATACGTTATTTATGGTTTATATTAAAGAAACTTTGTAAGTCAAAGTAGTAACTTAAAATTGACGCCCCGGTGATCGCTAGACCTGAAATTTTGCACACCTACCGTTTAAATCATACAAGCTGACCCGGCGAACTTCATAACACCATATTATATTTCTCTAGACAGGATTTTTTTTATATAAATAGACTTAAACATTTTGGTCACCCATTCTATGACCGGCTATAGCCGGCTAAGAATGTTGCTTGTCCACCAAATCGCAGATAGAACACACTAATCATTGCACCATCTGTTCTGTTATTTAGTATAATATTGTTAATCCAAAATGATAACCGTGATGAAATCTATTTTTATGAAATCTATATTGCAGATTAGCCAAATACGATAAAACAATGCTCTCAAACTACCTATCTAAAATTAGGTATTATTTTGGGAAAACCTTATTATTTTATTTTAACATCCATAAAAAACTGAAGTCTATTATATAAGAAACCCTAATGTAAGTTTAATAGTGAGGATTTACGATGATAAGCTGAGGAGGCTATCGGTTATCGGTTATAATTTATTATTTAAATTTGAGATTATTTCATTTTAAACTATTTTTTATTTATTTTGGTAACCTACATCTGTATAATATTAATATTAGTAGGTTACCATTAATATTTCAAAACATAAAATGGCGTTTTGATACTTTAAGGTCGCTTTGTTAAACATTGGTAATAATACCCCTGTCATGACATAGAGGGCAATGCGTACAAATATAAGTTGTTATTAAACGCACATGTCGATAGATGGCGTTATACTGTTACTACTAGTGAGCGTGCCCACGCTGGCTAGTATACCTACACAACTTAAATTAAAATATTAAACCTTAAAATAAAACTCATAAAAACAAAGCTATATAGGACAATATGAACACTTTATTTTTATAGCTAAAAATAGAATTTCTAAGCATGTTAGTATTAAGGTATGCTATGTCGGACTAAATAATACCCCTTCCACAACATAGATGGCGATGCGTATGACTAAATAAAACTAGTCGGCGAACAAAGTTGTCACTAGCATACGTACGCCGCGGCTATCAATATCTTTATAACATAATCTTAGATGGCGATACATGCGTATTTAGGCCGTTCTCTACATGGCGGTGTTAAGTTTTTGTCCCGTTTAATGACGTCCGGGCTCATAAGCTGTGAATTCATACTTACCTGGCGTAGGGGATACCGTGATCAGGAAGGCGGTTCCCCCAGGGCGAGGCTCCTCCATTGCACTGCGGTGGGGTTGACCCCTGCGATTATCCCTAATGTGGATAACTCGGACGCGTAATTTTTGGTAGTGGGGACTGCGTACGCGCTGTCCCCCCCTTAAAAGAAAAATATTTAGTTAATTCACATATCATGAATATATTACGAAGGACAAGGTGGGGGGCTAGCTTAATTGGTCGTAATCTTCAAATTTAGGTAATTAATGATTACTTGTTACAGCAGCGTCTCAAAAATCAAACTTCCTCTCTCGTCTCTATTACATAATATTTTTATAATATTAATTGATAATCATCGTACATCTCGCGGATCTTTGACATTTCTATAACATTTCGCTCATAAGTACTTTATTTTGAAAACATACAGTATCAATAAAACTAGTGTAGTAACTATATATGGTATAAATGTACATAGTAAAAAGTTGTCGCAGTTTTCGTTATTTACGGTTTACTATTATGGTCGATATTAACATCTAATTACCTATAGACCTTTTGATAGAAAGAGCGTTCAGATGCTGAACTAAATAGCACTCGTATTATGGAAATATGAAACAACAAAAGTAACACAACACCCAGACACAAGAGATAATATGAAAAAAAAAATTTTTTTTGCACTTATCCGACCTGTAAAAGAAACGTGGAACTTTAGAATGGTGTGAGACATTTAAACTAGCATGTGAACCACTTTCATTCATATATATTCATATACAGATGTCGTCAATATATGAATAGAAATGTACTATACAAGCTTTAGATTGTTTTTTTTTTAAATTACCTATTCATTTGTCCAGGATTCATTCCGGCGCCAATTCTAGCGGTGCGCACTGTAAAAGCGGAACTCATATGTGGTCTGCCTAAAGGCAAGGCGGATCAGATTAGTAAAATCGACCCCGACTGGATGCGCAAGGGTGATTACGGGTAATTACAAGTTTACTTTAATTGTGAACGTCAAGGTAGCAGGCACACCAATGAGTTTGACGATCTCATATGTATGTAAATAAATTGTGAGTAAATAGTGACAAATAGTGATCCGTAGCATACAATTAGTGATACTGTAAATTAAAGAATATTTGGAGATCTTCAATTAGAATTTAATTTCACTCACTTTACTAGAATTAGAGATATTTCTGATTATTGGTGTGCCTGCTAACTTGACGCTTAAAGCAATGATAATTACAAATCAACGGATAAGAATTTGAAGATGATAAATACACAAAACAATTTTGACTGAAATAGTGAGCCTCGTGATTCATATAAACCCAAAGAGTTTATTTTTATTATTATTTAAAACTAAAAAAAAAATATTTCTTCATACTAAATGTTCCTGCATGCTTGCGATAAATTTTAAACTTTATTGTGCTATATTAAGGTTCAGATGTATTTTTATTGATGTGGTGAACAAAGAAAAGAAATATTAATGGAAATCTGTCTTAATTTCTATGTAAAACAATTTTTGGAACTACAAATAACTATAAATCACAAGTAGAACGGATGAAAGTTTTATAAAAATACTGATTAATTAAAAAATATTATTCACCTAATATGCAATGAGACGTCAGGTAAAACAGCCAATCGATTATGAACCTTAAACTTTTAGAAATACAGTTTTAAATTGGTTGCAGCAAATAGGCATATGTAATAAAAAAAATTGGCTGCATAAGTTATAGTATACAGTGAAGATATTGAATAAACATGTAATTTTTTAGAGTAATTTGCTATCCATATTTGACAAGAAATAATTGCCATACTTTATAGAGGCGGCGCCATTATCAAGATCCAAGAAAAAAATGATGATTCGGGCCTGTGGAGACGGCTAACATTTTTTCTTTTTTTAAACAGAGTGATTCACTTCTGCCCGAAGGCTGAGCCGCTGAAGGTAGCTGACAGACCATGCCTCGATTACGGCGATAAATGTCGAGGCACTATATGTCCTACACACAACGATCTATGATATAGATCTACATAATTTTAAAAATATAAACAAAATTAGGGTATGTGCACCAGTCTCATTAGGACTACAAATCTAAATGTTAACGTTTTTGTCGCATTTGCCGCCATTTTTTACCATTTTTAAGGTGGCATTGCCATATTTCTACCATCCATGTGATCATAACTGAAAGCGATGACTTGGCAAATTATTTTTTTCATAAAAATAAACTTAATAAAATTTAGGGAAATATGAATTAACCACGTGGTTATATAATAAGTAATTGATACAATGATTTTTTTGTCGCAATAGATGTTGTAATAATTGAGTTACATCATCAAAATTGGTTTCAAAAAATGTAATCGGCTTAACCAGTAGCAAACTGGTGCAACCTACCCTATATCGGATACCTTACACTCACACAACTTATAACAAGAATATTTACTAAATGAATTTCAATAAGCGTTAATAATTAACATAGATAGTGAGTGACAATTATTGTTTCTCATGGTTTTCCATAAAAGTATTTTGACCCTTCATTTCCTATGAAAATTAAATTGTATTTAACTTGGTCGATTGTATGAAGTTTTTCTTTTAAAATTTCAAGTGTGCTATTTTCATAATAATAATAATACATTAAGCATCTCTTGAGAAATTATCCTACCTATATTTTTTTTTGTTTTGGCTTTTATTTATTTGACATAAAATTTTAAAAAATGCGTCGCCTTTCCAACTAATTTAAATTTATAAATTTAAATCCTAAGATTTTTGTGGCAACTTTATTTTTGTAATGCCTATTCCATTTTACAAAGTAGAAATTTTATCATACTTGTATTGCATCTAACTTATTGTGTAAAAATCTTATCATCGATAATATTTTCTTGTGCAATTATGTGTTATGAAACTCAAATTTTTACTACCTGTTTGAATAAAGTTTATTAAATAAAATGAAATGCTGTTTTTTTGTTAATGAAGTTTAATTTGAATTTTATTTTGCGATAATATTTCTGATTTAGATGTTACTTTGAGTATATCTACCCATTATAAGTTTAGGTGATGATAAAGTACACACGGCTACTTTAGGCACAAATAATTATTCGATTACCACATTGTGTCAAATTTCCTCAATTTGATCCTTTAAAATCAAATGGAGAAGGCAGTTGTATAGCCTAAAGTGCTGTGACTATTTTGAATGTACAGTCAAGCACGTCAGGTTATGTCAATTTTCTTTTCACGATTTTAAACCTTAATGCGTTCAGTGTAGACTTAAAAATAAGTTGCAAAAAATTGACATATCATGGTAAGTTGATGTGCAGCTGTATGTACATATCGATTACCGAAGAATGATCTTTTGTCTACGCGTTCCTGTCTGACATTCTAGGGCGGCAAAAATGCGGGTAAACTTGGCAGTTGGCAAAACAATTCATAAAAGTCCTCAATTATGTCATAAATTTTTTTTGCTTTTTTTTTAATCACATAATTATAGGGATGTTGCTGGATGGATAATAAAGTAATTTTATTTAGTCCGTCGTTCAGATAACAGAAACACAGGTATTACAACATTATTTTTCCTTCAATTTAACAAGAAATGGCCTGGATAATAGGTGTTAAGAAGTGGAGGCTTATTACGTCACAACACAACTAGATCGAAAATGTACAAAGGCGTGGCGTAAAAAACAAACTAGTTATCACCAGCAATGATGTATAAAATGTCTATGTCGTAAGAACGAACAAAACATTTTTTTTTTATACATTTGTCAAAAAAACACATTTTAATATTGAGATTTGAGGTGCTACAAAATCCAGCAATAATCGGTAATGATGGTAGTGGTAGTAATGTTTATGATTTTTCTTTCTAATTTATACAAATATGGCTGTAACTTTGAATGATCTTGATTAAATGAATGAAATTTATTTATTATTCATAAACTATTATCGATATATTTTAGTTCTTTTATATTATTTCTTTGTAAACAATACTTGAATTTATATTTTTATAGCGTGACCATGAATAATTGGGGTAAAAACTGAAAATCAGTGCTTTGCTCTTTGGTAAAAACTCACTTGAGTTTTGTGTTGTTGTAGTTACATTTGGTTTTCTATTATTTATTTTCTTTTTCTTTTCAATTATTTAAGGAAATTTGTTATGTAATATTTTATATTATGTTATGTAATAGTTTGTCAATTGATTTAGCCGCATTTCAGTTTCAGTATTTGCAGAATAGTTTGCTTTAGTGTTGGTAAAAGTAAATATTCATGAAAAAAGTGGATTACCATAAAAAATTATACAAATTGTGCTGCCATCTAGTGAAAAAGCTAGTGAAAATTTTGTAGCTTCTTTATTTTTTTAAATGCCACTTTCGATGCTATATCTGGCACTATTTTCATAAGGTTAGCATCGAAATTGGACTTTTAGCACCTAGCACAGAATCTAGTATTATTAATTAATTTTCTGTTCACAGTCAGATTTTATAGGTAAGGTCAAAGAAAATGTAACGTGGAAAGATATAAAGATAATTAGAAAGACGAATCTATGTCACTTTGTTAAAAAATAAATTAGAAATCTGGATATTTCAATCTTTCATTGTCCCACACACGATCCTACATGATAAAAAGCCGTTCCAGAAGATTTTGCCAATATAGAAGAATGGTTTTGTTTTTAAAGAAGAATGGTACATGTTCAATGATTTTATCCAATTTACTTCTTCTTTTGTTAATGACTTATCTGCGCATTTCGTACAATTCTGCCAATGTCAAGTGTCATTGTGTCATTTATCACCCATTTAGCAATTTAAAGTGTTTTAAATATCTGTCGCCTGATGGCTTGTTGCACAAACTTCCATTAAGGTTTAATGACGCCTTTAAGCGCTAATGAATGTAAAATTTGTATTGGTAATGTCGCTTTAAACTAATGAAAAGTTTAATGAACATTTGTGCAACTGGCTGTGAGATATGTAAATTTATTAAATAATTTTATGAGAATTACGTATAATTTATTAACTTCCAATGGCTTCTAAACATTAAATAAAAAACGAGCCCTATTAATTTGATATTATAACTGCACCTCCTTCATCATCATCATCGTCATCAGCCCGTATTCGTCCACTACTGGACATAGGCATAGCACCTCCTTGATTTGAACAACCGATTACTTTATGTACAGTGAACAACGTCTATACAACTTAGTCAAATAACCTCATTCAATTTTAAGCCTTATTATCTTGGTAGTAGAGTTTATAATTGATTTTGACATGTTGCTCGTGTAAGATAATTTTGCTGATATATACTCAATATACGATAACTTTCGCTACAGAATGCGATAATAGGCTCGCTTTTAGTTGTGAACATTGCAGCTTAGTCAGATTGATTTGATAGCTGTTTGGGCTATATAGATGTTTCCAAAGCCGTTAGACATAAAAAAAAATAACTGTCAAAAGCGCCTGACTGGCCCGATTGTTGATTTCCGTAATATAACTTTTACTCTTTGCTGCTGATCAATAAAACAATTTTAAATAATATTTTCATGGCTAGCTAGACAATAAATTAAGCAATGTTTCCCACAATATTAAGACGATGTTTATTTCTTCAAAATAGGATGGGCAGATCTCAGTTTCCAACACAAAAGAGATGGATACAAGTAACTTTAGGTTAGAAAATTGTTTATACTTTACCGGAGAAAAGACGTCCCGTTCGTTCGTATGGCTGGTATAATTGAACTTCTCAAATGACAGAAGAATCTTTATAAGTGATACAGTGCCCAAATTCACACGTGGCAAAGTATTGTACTCGTATATTATTGGCAAAGTTTATAGCATCAATTTCATCTTTCTAGGTCTAAGACATGGAGAATACGAATGGCAAGATCCGAAGTCAGAAGATGAAGTGTAATCGTTTTTTATTTTTTTTGTCCCACTTGTTATTTCTTATTTAACAAATAATAACCTTAAATACATATAATCTTAGTTTTTTAATGCTTACTATTTCAGTGTAAATATTACATATGTTGATAAAGATGGAAAGAAAACTAAGGTCAGAGGCAAAGTCGGAGATAATGCAATGTATTTAGCACACAGATATGGAATAGAAATGGAAGGTATGTTGATGAAAAAAATTAAATAAACTGTATAAAAGTATATAAATTAAACTGGTAACAGTGAAATGCACTGTTATCTTGGGAGATCATCATTTATTTATAAATTTTTATTGCTGTGACTGTTAACATTGGAACTTTGGAATTTTTTATGACCTGCACTGGCCAAGTGATTCCCATGCCAGTCTGAAATTGTTGCGATCTCTGAGGTTATTGGTGTTCTGGTCAGGTTAATGTAGGAAATTAACTTTCCTGTATTATCTCGGGCAATGCAACACTCTGGGTGTTGTTGTTGCTTCAGATTTCCATAATACAAGTGCTTTAGCTCCTTAACTTGGGATCTGACTAATATATGTGATATTCCTTATAAAAATAATCTAAATGCAATTTAAACGCACATACATCAACAACATCAATTAATTTTTAAATGGATCTGGTATCTACCAAATAAGTTATTTTAAATAAACTCATTCCAGATTTTTCAGAATGCTAATAATTTTTCAGGTGCTTGTGAGGCATCATTAGCATGTACAACATGTCATGTTTATGTACAAAGTGAATATTTTGACAAACTACCTCCATCCGAAGAGAAAGAAGATGACTTGTTAGATATGGCCCCATTCCTAAAAGAAAACTCAAGATTAGGTAAGTTAAACAATATGGTTGGCAAAACTCAAAAGCAGACTGTCTGCACCCTCCTTACTTATCAATAATGCAACCAAATGTCTTGTATGTAAATTAATTAATAATAATAATTTTAGTTTACCAAGTAAATTAATTAGAACTTGATGCCTTTCCTCTAAAATTTTACTTTACAGGTTGTCAAATTACACTTACCAAAGATTTAGAAGGTATGGAATTAAAATTGCCTAAAGCTACAAGGAACTTTTATGTAGATGGACACAAACCTACACCTCATTAGGTAAAACTGACAAAGAGCAGAGGAAATTTGAATTTGCAGATCAATCATTATTCAACATAATTTAGTCTCAGGAAATGAAAATGTTACTTAAAACAATGCTAAGTGTTATCAGATTTAAATAAATTAATCATAGATTCATCATGTATAAGCACTGAAAACATGATAATAATGTACAAACAAAGCCAGATTTAACAATGTATAGAAAAAATTATAAACATACTTTTGCACTTACTAATTGTTGGAACACATCCTAGCCTAAACCTAAGATAGTTTTTATCTAGAGACCTTTAATTAAGCCTCTGCTAGACATATTAAGTGAAAAGTTCTTTATTCAATGAAATATAAGCACAGAAATATTTGAAAACGTCATACATAGATGAGACTACCACCAGTATGACACAGGACTTGTGATTGATTATTTATGTTTACTTATCAGATTAGGATTATTAAAGAGGATTTAAATACTCTGCATCTAAAAGTGTTTATCAAATAAACTCTTCTTAGAAACTATGAAATGGTGTTGTTTAAGAATAATTCATTCACAAGATAAAACACCTTATAAGAAATTAAAAGGCTTATTAGTGGCTACAATAATAATTTTATTGGGTTTGAACCACATTAAATTAATAGCAATTTAAGATAAATTTGTCAATATGAAGAAGGATACTTTTAGTGAATATTATATTAAAATCAATATTATAGTAGAATATTTTACTAAAACCAAAAAAAGTAAAAATAGACCACTATTTCTATCCAAGTTTTAAATTGTGATTATTAAAAAAATTTGCAATAAAAAGTTGATTAGTAGATTTCTATACTCTAATGTATATAAATGTAAGATATTGTAAAAAGAAAAATAAATGATTTTTATTTAAAGATATTGAGTCTGATTTGTATTAAAAAGTTGAAATCTATAACTGCTGAAAAACTATGACATAAAATTGAATATGAATCACAGGCATCACATACCTATATTTAAGATGTTTAGTCTAAAGATCTGAAATATCTAATTATTTCTCGATCATATAGGTAAAATAACTTTTGAACCAGTTTGATTTTGGATGCACTTTGGGAGAGCTCATTGAATATGATTTTTCTGACACTCCAATGATCATTTTACATTAGTCTTTCTCATGAAAAATGATGATGAGAGAAGGTAAATTAAATATTGGTATTTGTATATAAATACATTTTAAAAAAATTACATGCATTAAGACATTTTTTAAAGTAATTCTGGTTTTAACTGTTTAATTTGGCAGTGAGATTAGAACCTTTTTTGTACAATTTCTACCAAAGTTTCAGAAAAGAAAATCAGAATAATCAATTCCAAAAGAATGTCCATAATAATGGATTTGTTTCAGTCAATGACCCAAATATGTTAACCTCATAAATTACTTCAACCATGGGGAAACCTCATGAAAATTTTATATACTTCACAGAGAGACATTTTATGCATTCTAAATTTCTCTTATAGTCATGTGACTTTTGATAGTATTTCTTTATGAGTTTTCATATGAGTTTGTAGTGTTTGTTTATACACTGTCCTGTAAATACATTTGTCACAGTAAAGAAACTTATTCCCATTAAAATGTTTTAATTTATGGCTTCTTAATGCAGCACTAGACTTAGCTCTATATGAGCAAGCAGTGAAGTTACACAAGTATAATTTATTTTCACTATGGATTTTCTCATGAGTGCTTAAATTAGGCAAATAATTTGTTTTATAATCACAATATTTGCACTTTTCGGTGTTCTGACCAAAATGGGTATTTAAATGTTGTTTATAATGAGATAATTTTATTGTTACATATCCACAAGTACTGCATAGAAGCATTTTAGACAATTGTATGTTGTGTACAGATAGCATGTGGTCGGATAAAACATATTTATATTCAAATACTGAATGGCATATATGACAATATTTTCCCTCTTTGAATGATGGATGCATATCGTTCATGTGATGTTCCAGGTCTTTCAATATGTTGAAGGCCTTTTTGCAAATGTAACACAATAGTTTTTTGCTTCTCTTGATATTGCATATTGCTGCTTTTATATTTAATGCTTCAGTTGGATGTTTAATACATGTATGGGCTCTTAAGCTCTTGATTGAGGAATATGCTATGTCACAGAATTTGCAGTGATATTTTCCTAAACCATCAATGTGTTTGTACCAATTTGCATTTTGTATAGTAACCTGAAACATGAAATGAAAATACCTATTTTTCCTGTATAAGCAATTTATATCTATTGAATTGCCTTATGCCTAATTTCCGTATATTTGTATATGTTGTCAATTTATTAAAGTTACATACTTTATTGTTTAAGGGTAACTTTTTAAATGAAACTAATAATTTCTTTAAACAGTGAAACGATGTAAAATCGCAACAAACTCTTCATATTTGTCACTATTTTAATAAATTATTAAAAAAAAAATCTACCTTATTATTTTCAGATTCAGCATTTGTTACTATGTTTTCGGTGTCTATTTGTTCGTTTATTTCAAGTCTGTCACATTTTCTGATAAATAAAGGATCTCCAGCATCAGTATCTTCATATTCTATTTTTATTTCTTGTTCTACATTATTAAATTCATCCATTATTGCGTTAATATTACAATTTAACAGAAGAAATTATTTTTCTTTTCGTTTTTATTTTATACATTCATTCAATATTTTTTTAATAATTTTATTTATATGCCATCCATCCACTCATTCATTCCTTCTCATGGTGTTGCTAGTTTCAATAAACATGGATATCATTCTACTGATTATAGATTAAATTAAATCAGTGGTTCCTAACCTTTTCGCTTTTTACACATCTTGGATAAAGGCCTCTTTTCTCTTCTTCCATTCCTGGCGATCTTATGTGCAACTCATCAAGGCCCAACTTCCGTGCCTTCGAATATCATTCATGCAACGCTGCGGTGGTTTGCCGCGCACACTAGTATCCTTTCTTAGTCTCCATAGGGATAGCCCTAAACTTATAGAATTTTGAAAATTTATGACAGAAATAGATAGAAGGCGTATGAAAGAAAGACACGTAGAGTAAATAATACAACATACATTATTACGTATTACGAAACATACATTACGCTACGCTAAACAAAGAAAAAACTACGAGACTTGTCAATACACACAATATAAAAGGTTACTTACAGAAACATAGTTTTTTCGTTTGGTATGTACCAATTTTAAAATTTCATAGATAATAGTGCCAAAAAGATTAAAATATGGAGCCAAAATTTAAGGGTAACTCGGTGGCGTAGTGCCACCGAGATACTCATTAAATTTATGACAATTTATAAATAAATATTACCTACTTACTTAATGTTTCAAAATACATTGCGACGTCTTGTTTGTTTTCATGGACTACATAAAAAAAACTATTATTACATATATATTACATAATATATATAAGGCAAATTGCATGAAATAAATCAACCTTGTGCTAATTTAAAGTAATTTGAAATGCACACTCAGTATCATTTTGGTAGTCAAAAAAGTATATCCCAATTAAATTAATGCAGCTTGAAAAAAAATCAACGAAAAAGAATAATAAGTTATGATGTAAGATTATATTTTATTTTTACATACTAATAATGACAATAGGAGTGGGCGATACAAATCGTACATTAAAACGTATATTGAATCAATATCGTGATATCGATGCGATACGTCGGATTCGGTATCTCACTCCATATCCGATATTTATGTATATGGGATATCAAACCGTATCGCATCGTTATGGAATTGAACCGATATAGGCATTTAGATTTGTTAGTGAATGAAATAGCAATATTAAAATATTCGTATTCAAAACCTTAGCTTATTAAAGTTAAGGTTGTTTTAAGGTTAATACTTTCACACATATGTAGTGTCAAAAAATACATAGCCTCAAAAATATATAGTTTCAAATAATATATAGTTTCAAATAATACATAGTTAAAAAAATATATAGTTTCAGAACCCGATATTGAATATCTATATATAGTTTCTAATCGATATTGTGACAATCTGATGTTACTCACCTCTAATGACATTACTGAGCTGATATAAAGCCAAATGAATTAAAGCAAAACTAGTCATATATTTCAAGTTTCCAACACATTCCATAAAATCTACTAAAATTGTCAATCTTTATATTTTTCTAATCTAGCAATCTTTTATCGCACCCATTCATTCCCAACTCATTCATAAGTTGCTATTCAATTTATTTTCATTCGTTCAATCAGTCTGCTCGCGAACGTCTTTAGAGTAGGGTGATTTCTTCGTTTTCACCTATCGCGTTTCGGAGTGATTTGTGTTTTGTTTTGTGGTGCACGATGGCTTATAACGGCAGTAGTGGCAAGAGACTTTGCACAGGAACGGACCTCGATGTAGAAAGGGTGAGTGATAGATTTTTGGTAACATTAGATAGTCAGCGATCTACGTATATCCTTCAAAAATGGCCGTGTTTTGAAAGGTCCCTGTTCATGTTTCGCGTTATTAGCTCAAAACATTCGTATTTCAGTGCATATAAACAGTCTTGTTCTTACTATTATCAATGAAATATTGGTATCGTTACGGCAACTGTCGCGGCAGGCAAAGCTATGTTGTTGATAAGAATTTTGAGGTTACATTTTGTTGACACACGGGTTTCTAAACCTCAAAATTATTTAGAGTATTGTTCTTTTAGCATTAACACATTTGGTGCTGTTCGTTTTATTATAACGTTCAAAGCCATCGAGTTTTTCTTGTTCAAAATACGAAAATAGGTTGATGTCTACGCTGTCTGTCAATTATTGTGATTGACATCGCTCGGTCATTAGGTTTTTCTACATCGGCGGGAAATAAATGCAGAGTTTTTAGGGCAGCAACAAAACTTATTTCAGTACGTATTTAATAGGTAATTTCTATTTAGGTTCATTCCTTTTTTGTCATTTTGTTTTTAATATTTCGTAAGTTGAAGTTTTAAAGAAGATAGAAAAATAAATAAATCGCACTCGTACTGGTAAAACCACAAAACAGGTTTTTCAAATTTAATAAAAAGAATTTAAACTGCATCTATGTACTGGTTTAACCTGTTTATTATTTTTTTATTTATTATTGGTTAACAGCTTTTACCAGCACATGTCCAAATAATTCATAATATGATGTGATTTATTCAAAAAGTATATAAAAAAGTTTCTTCTATTATATTAAGAAAATATTATTCCTTATCCTATTTAATAGCTGCATCAAAATGTAGATTTCTTTTTCAAAGAAAAAAACCAATTCAAATTCACTAAAGTAAAAGGGAATTATAATAAAATGTAGAATTTATTATCTTAAAAGCTTGCCACCATTAATTTTACTAAATATAGGTGTCCGCTAAAAATACAAATGGCCGTTGTGTTTTAGTTCTCTTATGTGATATACAACTGTTGTAATAAATATTCTTCAAAGCTCAACGTAAACAAATTGAAACTAATCCCTGTTTTAGTGGTCTGGAACACTCGATAGAAAAGATACTATATGTACTCATAACATGCCTGAGTGTATTGTAAATAATTTCAATGAACAAATGAATGGTGAAAACATCAAAACTAAATGTTGAAATGTTTGTTTATTTTATTACGTACACTTTTATGTATATCTCATATAGGGTAATGATAGTTTGATTTCTTGTACATATTTTATTTAAAAAAAAATTAACATTATAAAGAAAATTATCCTACAGTCTCAGGTCTAAAATGTGTGCCGTTTAGGAGAATTATTATCAGTTGAAAACATCACTTGGCATTTAAAACATACTGTTTTCTCTCTTATAAATTTTTTTTTTATGAAAACAATTTGATATTTATCTATCATCTCAATTTATGTTTTGATTTTATAAAGGAGAAAGACTCAATAATATTAAGAATATGACAAGAATTCTTTGTGCATTACCATAGTTATCAATATATATACTTAACAATAGACATCTATGTTATAATAACTACATTCTCTCCATCTATTTAGTACAGACAAATGTGGATATTGTATCTTATTACTTCTCACTATTTGCAGTCTATTTATGAAGTTTTATTAGAATATTTAACTTCAGAAATGGCAATAAACAGATTGAAAAGTCTTTGTTAAGCTATATTTTGAAGTTAGTTACATGATACAGTTTATAAATTAGTTATGATACTATATGCATGTTAGGTTGATATTGTGATGATTTGGAAAGCTTTTTTTTTGTAAAGATTTCAAAGTAGATACTTTAGATGTTTTAAACTACAATGTAGGTATATAAATCTTTAGATTTTACAATGTTAATGTCAATTAAACATAGCTTAAATGGATATTCCTTGAGAACTGACCCTAAAGTTACAAACATTTCCAAGTAAGAAAGTAAGTGGAATTGAATTTACCGCACCAGATGTTAAGTCGCAGCCGGTGCGATTACACTATAATTGGATTTAAACTGCAACTGGAAATAATAAGCATCGTAAAATTATCCATAAGTTATTTTGTCAGTTTGAATACTTTTCTAATAAAATTACGATTACCAGTACCTCGGTGAGAACTTGGTTTCAATCACAGATTGTGCACGAAATTTGGTTTACAGCTGCCGTCTAAATCAGGGGTGTCAAACTCAAATTTAAAGAGAGCCATATATTTTAATAACATGCGTAAGCGCGCCAGGTTTTAAAAAAATCTTGTTGAATTATAATTATCACGCATAAATGATTCTTGAAATTACATGTAAATAAATCTCATTTTCATACTTCCGTAGAGGCTTCGAATAAAATATAAAAAACAAGATATTTCTGTGATAATATTATGATCGCGTGTCAGATTAGATATTTGTGTGATAATATTATGATCGCGCGTCAGAATGCTATGGCGTCGCATATGGCCGCTAGACCGTAACTTTGATATGACTGCTAGGCGAAACATAGTTGGCAATACGCAAGGGCACCTCTATCGGAACAAAATCCAGTTGATTACAGTTATTTTGCCGATTTTTTGGTCAACCACCAAAAACTGCAGTTAATTACCTCACTGCAAACTATTAAAATCTACCACGATAACCTTTTACTCAATTCAAACTTACGTTTCGATTGTTGTGTATTAATTGCCCCTCGCCACCGATATCGACAATAATCTCATTTAATTCGTGGTATGCATTCCAAACCGTTAGCACCATCTAGCGGTGATATTGACCCGTATGAATAAAAATGTAGTTAAATATCCGTCAAAAATTGCATTTTTCGTTATAAAACGCTTGGGTAAAATCGATAATAACTAGCTTTCCATCTATAATACAAGAGTATTTTTCTGAAAAAAAAAAATATATATATATGTCTCATGTTGTTATTTCACTTTTAAATGATTTTCTTTAATGTAACTTTGTTTAAAATTTACTCGAAGAACGTTGCCACCGGGAATAATAATTATAAGGACAAGATTCCTTAGTTCTAGTTTACAATTCATTAAATATAAATAGTCGTAACTGTGTAACTTACCTAAATTTTAAAGCTTTATTAGCTGAGTTCATGATTTCTAAATAATCTTTTAAGGATTAAAATAGATATTTGCATTATAGATTAAAATAAAGTGTTTCAAATATTTGTAAGTATAAATAACGGATACCAACAAAATGTTTTTTGAATATTAAAAGAAAGTCATAACACATATCTTTAACCGTTAGTCGGCGAATATAAATCATAAATAATTACATATTTCGCGGCAAATGAAGCGAAGAACCGCAGTAAGATCAAACGTTTTTAACTTCTAA